GGAACTGTCCCAGTTCCACAGGCGTTCAGTCGGGTCGTCCAAGATCTTCTGATTCTTCTCCACGGCAGTCCATTCAACTTCCTCGTCGGAGGAAGAGGCCGGTGGGTCGATAGACTCGCGCGCCATTGCGTACAAGAAGGCTTCCCCCATGTTCTTTGTGTAGGCTTCGCACAACTGCATCAATGCCGCATGGTGCATCTGCGGCTGGTCATTCTCTGTCACGTTGCTCTGGGTGACAGCAGGTTGTCTGAAACCCATGGAGAAATGGCGTGCTTCAAGACGCAGCTTCGCCAGTGGGTCCCTTGGCAGATTTTTGAGCGGAAGGATCTTTCTGGGTGGTACATGGGTTGTCAGCTGGCCGCAGGGTAATTTAATGCCGGGAGAATCGGGGAGGAATTTATATTGCAAGTCATTCTTGCTCGGCTGGGGAGCCGGTTCCACATGAAAAGCTCTCTCGACAGCCGGTGAGAACATTTCAAGGCCACGAAATTCTGAGGACAAAAAGCTCGCGATTTCGATGTTCTTCTTCACTAAAGAATTGGACATATTTGCATCCTCGTTTTGATTGTTGTTTAGGGTCAATATTTCCACGTTATCGACAGAAGTTGACTCCCCACCTTCTTTGTCCTGACTCTTTGAAGGAAGCGGCTGCAATGAGCGAGATCGCAGTGAGGGTTTCAGTTTTCGAATTACTTTGTCAAGCAGCAAATCAGCCTTCTTGCGTTCTAATCTCTCAGCTTCGGGGTCCTTCACCTCATTGGTGCTGATAACGTGTACTGTTTGGGAGGCATTTCTTGCTTCCTCCGCTCTTTCAAAAAGCGTTAATTTTCGGTTGCTGCTAGGCCGTTCAAGCGAGGGCGTTTTACCATCTTGAAGTCCTGTTTGGCCCCGCTTGCTTGTTGGTCGAAGTGGTGGTAGTTTTTCCGCGCTCTGAACTCCGACAGCATCTGTTGGCGAGTTCAAGGCCCAGTGCAAAGTCTTTTTCTTCTTTTTGGGGAAAAATCTTTTGGTGTCTTCGCGGTGAGCTTTCTCAGTGGAAATAAAACCACCCTTGTCAATTTTTGGCAGCATTTTCCGTAGCCCTGCCTATACCCCGCCCCCCGATTTGGTTCTGCTAAGGCGGCTTAGCCTCGGCGTGAAAGGCTCACTTTTGCACGTGGCCATTTGTGAACGTGATAGCCAAGGCCATCGACCGTAATTTGAAGTGGCAAGCGTAAGCGTGGCATGAAGGAGTGGGTGGATCCCTGCACGAGCAAATGTCGTTGTAACGAACCAAGAATTCTGCAGTTGTTTGAATTTGCCCAGGTCACTTTTTTCGCGCGGATCCCGAATGAGAATGGTGGAATCGTTTGCCGACGAAAATTACCGGTGTTACTTATCTTCCTGCCGCTGACCTCATCCCCTTGCTTTCGGTATCCTTCTGCCTTGCGTGCTCCTTATTTTCAAAACTCCTGTCGAGCACACAAGAGTCGCGGCGGTCGACACGCAGATATGTGTCCGCCATGTTAAAACAAACAGTTCAGAAAGGGGTACGTATCGAGATGGGTAAAAGTGAAAAAGTCTGGTAGCTCGGCACAGTACCCTTCTCCGAGACCGGAGGGCGGCGTAAAAGGACGCCGTAGGATAAAAGAAGGAATGCGTAACTAAATGAT